TTTCTGTTATCTAAATGTGTTCTGTTGTACATAGGGTTTTCAGAGGCCTGCTATTTCAGAAGTGTATGGCCAATCCTTCTTCCTAGATCAAAAACTAGCTCCAACAATTACTTCTAAAAGTGTAGCTTTGATCAAATGTTAATATTCCCAGTGAAGGCAAATGAGTGTTCTAAATTATAGACCAAAATGTACACATTTATAACACACTGCCGATGCTGAAATGTTTGAAATTATAGACCATCTCAATTTTCATATTCTTTTTGTTGTTAAGTGCTGTCAAGTCATCTGTGACTCGTAGCAGCCCTATGTACAAGAGCTCTGAACCCTGCCCTGTCTTCAGCCATTCTCCCTGTCTCTTGACACGCCTACCCCCATTTTGCCACAGGGAATGTGTTAACCCATCTTCTGTGGTATAATTTGGTGTTTATTGTACCTTCTCCTTCTCTTTTGAGTTACTAGTTTAAATTATATTCTCTCTCCCGTGCTTAGACGGGGAGATTTTTAAACACATGAGTGAATAAGTGGATCTGTGCTGGACTATCTGCCTTTCATTCCTACTCTGAAAAGCTTACTTTACATTTATATATGTTCATTGAAGAAAATACACACAAAAAAATAAACAAAAGTGGAAAGAACCTTTTATCCCACCATTCAGTGTTAATCATTATTTATAGTAAAAGTTAAAGCTTAATTTTTTTGTATATATTTTTACATTTTTTAAAAAATAACAATCCTAAAAAAAAAAATAACAATCCTGGAAAGCTTATTTTCTCTTCTACCTCTATGGCATAGATATTTCCTTGACCTATTAACTGCTTAATAGCGTGGTTTTTATTAGCTGTGTAAGAGTCTGTTGCATGGATTGATCATAATTTATTTGAACAATTCCTTATTGTTCTGCTTGCAATATCACCAGTTCACTGGTAAAGACTATAGTTGGATTCTTTGAAGTTCCTGCTGCTTCAGACGTATTCCTTATTTATCCATTATTTCCCTCATTAAGGAGTTCTAATGGCATCTTGCATTAACTTGCTACTAACCAAAAGATCAGTAGTTCAAATCCCCAAGCTGCTTTTCGAGAGGAAAAATGAGAATTTTCCTTCTGTAAAGATTTACACCGTGGGAAACATGAAGACGGATCTTCTGAGGTAAAAACCCCTCTAAATCACTGGGGTTTCGCTGTGATCTCCTCTTGGGTTATACCTTGAATAGAAATTGACATAAAGGAAGTGGGTTTGATTTTTGAAGGTTTTTCCTTGTCCTTGATTGCTAAAATGCTTATTTCCTTTACCTTCTTTTTAAGCTGCTCTCATAATTGTTTAATTGAATTTCTATTAAAAATTTTAATTTTCAGCTTGTCACTAGTAGAAGCTCTATGATTGGAAATGACTTATTAAACATACTGTTTGGAATCTAAAACTGACTAAATTAATATACTAACTTGTTGTGATGTTGATTTTCTTGTCATCTTCGCAGGAGTATATATCCTGGGGAAATATGGACAGAAGAAAATCCGAGAAATACAAGAAAGAGAGGCTGCCGAGTACATTGCTCAAGCAAGACGACAGTATCATTTTGAAAGTAACCAGAGGACATGCAACATGACCGGTAAGGCATAAAGAAGCACCAGTTTACACATGCACACAACTCCTTGAGGTTTGCATGACTGCGTACCTCCACAACCAGCTTTAGAGGAACAGACAAAGAAAAAATGTAAACCTTGCAAATATTTACATTCACTAACTGAAGTACAGTATTTATAGTGACTATTTAAAATAAATGTAAATCAGTATCAAATGCTTACTTGTCCATTTATCATGTTATCAGTAATTAATTATGGCCCAGCAATGGAGAATGATGTCTGTTTATGTTTTATCCACTATGCAGAGGCAGTCACAGCACATTGTGGCTCACATTGAGAAGAACTGGAATCCCAGAATACCTGATTGTGCTCATGCAAAGCCTATACCTAGAACAGGAAGTTGTTGTATGAACAGAGCAAGAGAACACTAGCATGGTTCAGAAGCAAGAAAGAAGTGCATCAGGGATGTGTCCTTTCTCCATACCTTCTCTCTCTATATGCAGATCAGATCATTCAAGAGGCTGGACTTTATGAACAATGTGGCATAAGGATAGAGGAATTGTCAACAACCTGCATTATGCAGATAACATAACCTTGTTTGCCAAAACATAATAGAACTTGAAGCCTTTGCTCTAGAATATCAAAGACTGCAGCCTTCAATATGGATTGCATCTTAGCCTTAAGAAAGCAAAGATTCTCACCACTGGACCAGTTGAAAGTATCATGACAGATAGAGAAGGGATTGAGGTAGTTAATGATTTCATCTTGCTTGGATCCACAGTCAACACTCTTGGAACCAGCAGTTTGGAAATCAAAAGACAAATTCCATTGAGAAAATCATCTGTCTAGGATCACTCCAAAAGTGCTAAAGGGCAACATTGTCAGTTTAGAGACTATGGTATGCTTGACCCAGGTCATGGTCTTCTCGGTTGCTTACTCTGCGTCTGAGAGCTGGGCAGTGACTAAGAAGAAGAATCGATGCTTTTCTGGTGCTGGAGAAGAGTATTGAACACACGCCATGGACTGCCAGCAGAACAAACAGGTCTCTCCAGGAGAGGGTGAATCAGGGTGCTCCGTGGAGGCAAGGATTTTGAAACTTCACCTCACAAACTTTGGGCATGTGGCCAGGAGAGACCTGTACTTGGATAACGACCTCATGCTTCAAGGGTGGAGAGCAAGCACAGGAGAGGAAGACTCTGGAGATGGATTGAAACAGTGACAGTGGCAATGGAGTCAGGTATATCAGAGATGGTAAGATTGGCTCAGGACAGCTCAAAGTTCAGAGCCATTGTTCATAGGATCCCAGTGAGTGCTACTCGTCTCGATGGTGCGTAACAACAGCATTGTCAAAACCAAAAGTGAACGATCAAAACAACATCTCTGTCTTTCAGTGTTTATAGTCTTGTAAGAGAAAAAGATTATAAACAACTTATAAATAACTTTGGTGATGATGGCTGCTATAGGGGGAAAAAGCTGTGTGAAGGATGGGAGTGCTCATAACCATTGTTGTTGTTAGGTGACCTTGGGTTGAGCATGACTCATAGTGACCCTACGAACAAAAGGTGTGAACCCTCTTCTATCCTGGGCCATCCTCTCACAAGAGCCCAGTGCAGCAGTCACTGTATCAATCCACCTGGTTGAAGGTCGTCTTCTCCTTCACCGACCATCCACCCTTCCTAACATCATGTCCTTCTCCAAGGAGTAGCACCTCCTAGCAACATGTCCAAAGTATATGAGACAAAGCCTCATCATTCTTGCATCCAAAGAACACTCTGCCTGCACCTTCTCTAAGACATATCTGTTCGTTCTATTGGATGTACATGGGATGTCCAGTTGTCTTGTCCAACACCACAGCTCAAAGTCATCAATTCTTTATGATCATGGCATATACAAAATACAGCAAAGAAGCCAAGAAGTTAGAGTGGAATAAGCATTGAGAGAACGACATCAAGTGATTGGAGATACACGCCTAGTCCCAGTGGGGTTTGTTTTAAGTGATCTAGAATCTTGACTGAAAGCAGAGAGTACCAGAGGAATGTCTATCTGTATTCCATTAACTATGCAAAGGCTTTTGACTGTGTGGATCACAACAAACTGTGGCTGACTCTGAGAAGAATGGAAATCACAGAACACTTGACTGTGCTTATGCGAAACCTATGCTTGGACCAGGAGGCAGTCATCAGAACAAAGCAGGGAAACACTGCATGGTTTAAAATTGGGAAGGGTGTGCATCAAGGATGTGTCCTATCTCCATATCTTTTCAATCTGTATGTGGAACAGATTTTCCAGGAGGCTGGGCTGTATGAGGAGAAGTGTGGCATCAGTATTGAAGGTAAACTTATGAACAGTCTGCATTATACAGATGACACAAACCTGCTTACTGAAACTGAGGAGGACCTGAAGCACTTGCTGCAGAAGGTCAAGGACTGCAGTGTTCAATATGGATTGAAGCTCAATATCAAGAAAACAAAGATTCTTAACCACTGGGCTGATTGGCAACATCATGATAGATGTTGAAGAGATTGAGATTGTTGACAGCTTCAGTTTGCTTGGTTGTACAGTCAACACTATTTGTATCAGCAGCCAGAAAATTAAAAGACCAATTGCAACTCATGCAATATTATTCAAAATGGGTAACCCTCGAAGACATTATGCTGAGTAAAATATCTTAGTCACAAAAGGACAAACACTGCATAGTGCCACTGCTTTAGAATGGGACTGATATCAGGTTTGGGGTAAGAATGAGAAAAACTGGATGAATTATGTATACTACATTGAAACCGATGAGGGAGAGAACAGTTTAAAAGCAATATATTATAGAGCATTATGATTATCATAAGAGTCCGGAATGAAGGTTACTTGAGGTGAGGGGGGCGGGGATTTTATACCAGTGAAGGAATTTTACTTTTCAGAGAGAAGAGCGCACTGGGGTGGTGGTAGTGGGGTGTTGGGGAGAAATGTGCAATAATGAATGAATGGAAATCCAAAATCTCTGTAAATGTTCATTGACAATAATAATGAAAAAAGTAAAAAAAAAAAAAAAGACCAGTTGCATTGGGAAAGTCTGCTATCAGAGACCTCTCTAAAGTACTGAAGAGCAGCAATGTCATTCTGGAGACTAAGGTGTGCCTGATACAGGCCATAGTCTTTGCAGTTGCATACCATGCATCAGAGAACTGGACAGTGACTAGGCATGATAGAAGAAGAGTTGATGCCTTTGAGCTGTGGTGCTGGAAAAGAGTATTGAATATACCATAGATGGCTAGAAGAACAAATAATTTTATCCTGGAGTGGGTGAAGGCAGGCTGCCCCTTGGAGGCAAGGATTCTGAAGCTTCATCTGACATACTTTGGACATGTTGGAAGGAGGGATCAGTCCTTGGAGAGGAACGTCAAACTTGGGAAGGTGGAGGGACAGTGCAGGAGAGGAAGACCTTCAATGAGATGGATTGATTCCGTCACTGGAGTAATGGGGATAGTTGTGTCAGAGACAATTGTTAAGAGGTAGAGGAGAGTTCACAGCTGTTGTACATAGGGTCGGTATGAGTCACAGGTGACTCTATGGGTGCATAAAAACAACAACAACACAACAGAGCTACTATGGAAGAGAGGACACTCTGGTGGCCTACTGGCAAAAAGCTGCTTTGCAATCCTGAAGACAGGTCGTTCTAATCCACAAGCTGCTCCAAGAAAGATGGGCAGTCTCCTGTGAGATTAACTTTTTGTGAAAACCCACCCTTGAGGAGGACCAGCTATGGATTACTTCTAATTTTATGGTACACAACGGCAACAAACTATGACAGAAATACCACAAGAGGGAGATTTGAATCAGTAAACTTATTTCCTCACAATTTAGAAGTCTGAAAGTCTGAAATCAAGATGTTAATCCTACAGAAAAGTTCTCTTACTGTCCCCTCTGGAATAAGCTCCTTGTCTCTTTAAGATTCTGCTACTGGTTGATCTTCAAAGGATTTTGCATCTCCCTTCCCTCATCTTTACTCCTTTTGCTTGTTTAACGTCCTTTGCAGGAAATTCCTAGATTACAAATGAGTTCCATTCCTAAATTTGTCTTAATGTCAAATGCTGTCTTTAGCTCAAATTTGCACAGAAATTAGAGCAGTTAGTTACAGTTTATATGTCCTATAATTTAGTCAAATGTTTTAATATATAGTACACCTTTCTATATAGTAAAATATGAAAGGAATATTTCTAGATACACTAAAATAATGTAATAATGCAGTTATGCAGTAATAATAATGTGCTGCACATTTGCAAAGAAGAACCCACTTGTTACTGGGAACCATAGTAGGTGCTTTGGGTTTTCAGTGTAACGGGCTTTACTGGAATTGTTGTTGTTGTTGTTATGTGCCGACGAGTCGTTTGCGACTCATAGCGACCCTATGCACAACAGCCCTAAACCCTGTTCTATCCTGCGCCAATCGCACTGCCTCTGACACACCCATCCCGAT